GCAGGGACATGCTGGCGACAGTCCTAGGAATAATGCCCATCCTTGCCACATATGTGGCACACAGAAGTACATCGACAATAACCCTCATGAACCTTGTCACACTTGCCACAAGTACGGCCCATCTGACTCCCAGATCTCACATCATAGACCTTAAACCGCTTCGCCGCAAGTTGCGACTGCACCGGAGCCTGCCTCCACTCCCTCGTCTGGAGCTCCAACTCAATCTCCCGCTGCCTAGCGGGCTCCTGTAACTCCACAAGTGTACCATAGCGTTGAATAGACTCAAACTGACGGATGTCCTTCTTGAGCATGCTCAAGTACCGGGTCATCTGAGCTTGCTCGGAAGCAGCAAACTCAGGACAAAACAGAGCTCTCTCAGTGAACATCTTAGTGATCTCAGTCACCGACTTAGTCCCCTGCTGCAGGTCCAAATACTCATGTGCCAGTCTATCCCTCTCAACCATTGGGACATATCTCAAGCGGAACATCTCAGAGAAATGCTCCCATGATACAACAGCTCTCTGCTCTGAAGTGTATGAACCAATAACCAGTCTCCACCAATCCTTCGCTCCAGACCGAAGAAGGTTCAGAACGCACTTGACCTTCTGGTCAGCTGGGCAGGAGCAAGTAAAGAAACATCCCTCAACATCGGACAACTACCTCATGGAAATGATCGGATCCTGGACTCCATCAAACACCGGGGGCTTCGTATTATCGAAGTCCCAGTACTGGAAGGCTCCCCCCCCCTCCCCCTGCCAATCCCCGCAGCATCGACGGTCGCGGTAGTTGCAGCAACAGCAGCCTCAGAAAGTGCAGCATATCAGTCATCGAAGAACTACATCATGGCGGTCTTGATAGACTCAAACAACTCTGGTATCTACCCCCGGACTATAGAAACAACCTCAGCATGAATCATCTCCCTAACCTGGTCCTCAGTCAGCCCTGGCCTATCCTGGCCACTCGTTCCTTCTCCTGATATAGATCCCCTCGTGAACACCATACTGAAATAAAACAGAAACTATCAGATAAAACGCAATTCATCCCATAGGAGCTATTCCAAATAACGAAACCCTAGGGCTTGTGACTTCCCTGCTACGCGTACGGGTCATGTGATTCCGGTAGTACGGGCCCATACTACCTTCCACGCCTACCCGTATTTGTCTCAGAGGATCATCACAACAACCCTAACAACACAAACTAGCATAACGCATACATCCTATTCTCACTCTTTAGAGAAAGGCTAGACATTCTTCAACTGGTCGGCTGCTCTCACACAAACTCATTCATGAAACTTCCACCAACCCTGTAACACTCGTGTATGCTAATCATACATAACGTTGGATTCCATAAACAGTCGAATACTTGATTCTACCCTAAGCCCACAACCAGACAAGGAACAAGAAATAAGTTAAATCAAACATTCATAGGCTATAAAATCTTAATTATGTACAATTTTGATGCATACACCAAGCAACTACAATAATTATGTCAATTTTATTCAAGAATAACTCTAGGCTATCAGGCATCATATATCAGGCAATTCTATCATGCGATTCCTAAAGATCCCTAGCCTACCACTAGCATGTTGTTCTAACATAACATAACATCAAGTAACAGTGTGGGTAACTTAGGGTACACTTTCTTGCTTCGGCTGATCGTACACATCGCATTATTCCTTGGTAACTTTTGAAAACAATTTTGAAAACCAGTTTAAAAACTTTTGCAGTTCCCTAGTTTGAGTCTGGACTCACACGAATGTTCATTCAATTCTCTCAAACCAAGGATCTTATACCAACTTGTAACCCTCCAAAAATCAAAATAAATTAAAAAAATTTAAAACCAACCATGAATCAATATTGTTTACAAAAAGAGTCATTGTTTCAAAAGCGTTATTTCAAATCAGAGTTTTCCCAAGACCCGAATACATAAAAACAGGAAGTTGTGTACAATCACGCCTTCGCCTTCCCACGATCCTCAGAAGTACCTGAAACCATAAACTAAAATTGTAATCAAAATCTTAGTAAGTTCCCCCAAAGTACCAGCACACCAAAACAAACAAGCATACAATATAAACAGCCAGCCTGACTGGACTGCCTCGCAGGGCCTACAACCTATCTGGACCGCTCTACGAGCCTTCGGCATGACTGGACCGCCTCAACACAACACAACATGTCGACATATGCAACAAACAAACATAAATACAGAGCCATTAAATACAGATAATCATACGGATCTACTGAACAGCTACAACTATCATATCATTATCCTGACCAGGATAAATAATCTAGTGGTTAGGCATCGGTGCCTTCGACCCATGGGTACAGTGAGGAAAATTCACCTCACAGTCTGAATGTAGCCTGAATAACTCCCAGCTCCGACAACCGGCTCAACCCAAATCCTAAATGTTAAAACATTTACCATTCTAAATTAATAACACTTCCCAAAATATCCTTGGTCAAAACTGGTCAAAATCAACAACTCAACCAAGTCAACCCATCCGAGTCAACTCAGGGCTCGTACGCGGGGCGTACTCTGAATGTACGCGGGGCGTACTAGCGGTCCAAGACGTCGGGGCCAAATCTGCATACGCGCAACGTACCATTTGGTACGCCCTGTGTACGCAGCAGTTCTCTTCTTTACCGGTTAAGATCCTAATCCTTCGACTTAATACGTCCAAAAGCAGATCCAAGGCCGAAATACCACTAAGAGTCATTAAGTTTCCAACTTTATAACTTTGCATGCTCATTAAGTGCTTAATACCAACAATACCAACTTCTGAACACCTTAAGACCTTCTAAAGCATGCATGGGGAAGAACTAAGCACCAAGATCTCATTTTTATTACTCAAGACCCCTCATTGGGTCTGAAAGGATGATTTATTGGGTCAAGAGCATTCCATGCTCAAGAATCACCAAGGTTGGGACCATAAATGCCCTAAATGAAGGAATGTCTAGATCTACATGATAGGATGATCAAGCTAGAAGCTTTTTACCTCCTGGAGGTTGCTAGCAAGTAGAGAATCCTAGATTCAAGCTTCTTCCAAGCTCCAATGTCTTTATACCACCTTCATCTTCTTCAAGAACACCACCAACACACACAAATGAGCTCAAAATGCACTCTTCTCACTTAGGGTTATCTAGAGGGATGTTTTCTCCTGTGGAGGCTGATTAGGGTGAAGGTCTTGGGGCCATAAAGTTGTTTAAATAAGGTTCAAACCCTAAAATTTAGGGTTTGGAACCCTCTTACATACGTCGTGCGTATGCAAGGTACGCCATGTATACTACGCTCCTCGCGTGTACGCCTTGCGTACGAAGAGTATGCCCAACGTACTAAGTTCCGGCCATAAATTACCAAAATGCCACTTTGGGCCATTTGCACTCTTTCTTATGCACAAGGACTAGAATGCAATATTTATTCATACATAGGGTTAAAATTGAAATTACCTCAACATCGGGATGTTACGTTGTGACTATGGGCATATTTCCAACAAGAAAGATCACGGCTTGTAGTTTGCTACTAAACGCCACAAATTTTAAAAAAAAAAATCATTTGGCCATTGTACTTACTCCCTTGGCTCCCACTCCTTCTCTAACTAGTCTAGTTGATACCAATGGTTGTAATAAGTGTTGATAATATATTTTGATACTCATTTATATCATGTCTTTCATGTCTTAACCACGAAATGTCTTAATATTTTCATGATTTCAAGGATGCACTCACAAAGACATCAATCATCCACTTTAAGTCTTTAATGACTTTATGATTATCTCTAGTTTGCTTTCTTATAACTTAATGATAAAAAATGATCTTACTAAAAGTGATTTAAACATGTCATCTATTCCAATCCCATTTTCATATTATAATTCCATTCATTCTCACATGATTCTAAGCACAACAATGGAATTGAGAAACTTATATCGGATGTATGGAGAATATGGGTTTAAATCATTTAGGTTGCGTTTAGTTACGGAAAAACATTTTCGTTTTCTGTTTTTCGTTTTCCCTTTTCATATTTCGTTTTCCGTTTTCGGTTTTCATTGGAAAATTTAGGAAACGCGTTTAGTTAAACTTATTCATTTTTCAGTTTTAGAAAATTAGAAAACATGCTTAGATGTGTATTTTTCTATCAGTTTTCATTTTTATAAAATAGTAGCGGTGGTAGGGTGTGTTTGTGTGTGTTTGTGGGTGTGTGTGTTTGTGGGGGTGGGGGTGGGGGTGGGTGTGTGTTTGTGGGGATGGGGGGTGTGTGTGTATTTGTAGGGGTGGATGTGTGTGTGTTTGTGGGGGTTGGTGTGTGTGTGTGTGTGTGTGTGTTTGTGGAGGTGGACTTAGGAGTGAGTGTAAGTAGGTAGGGGTGTGGTGGGTTGGGGGTGTTAAGGTGAGGATAGGTAGAGGTGGATGGGGGGGTGGAAGTGGGTGTTTATATTTTAGAAAAAAACTGGAATTAGAAAAATGTGGAAAACAATGATTATCGGTTTTCCAAAAAAAACCAACTTCTTTGTAATTTTAGAAAACGAAAAATTTTCATTTTCCGTGAAAAATTTAGAAAAATACAGAAACTAAACGCGTTTTCAAAATTCTTATTTTTCTTGGAAATTTTTTCCGAAAAACAGCTCATTTTTCCGCAACTAAAAGCACCCTTAGTTTTTTTTTTTTTTTTTTTTTCAAATCTTCCAAACACTTACAGCTTCAAATCCATTGATTTCATTTAATTTGATGAGAACATTTTTGTGAGTTATCTTGACTTAGAAATCATGTCATTCCTTTCCAATGGTTGGTGTCCTTAACCATTTGTCATGGATAAGGATCAATCCAATACCAAATTCAAAGCATTATTCAGATAAATTTTTAGATGTACTCCAGGCATCACTTGTAACGTGCATGTGATCCATCTTGTGACTCGTAATGTGATCGATCCAACATGTTAAATGGTGGCCCATTCTTGTATCCTCATCTCCATGTCTTCCAAATAAGTCAGTATTTGATAAAAAAGGCAAATTCGGCCCACTCATATATTTGTCTACCAAAAATTTTAATCCATCACTAACTTCAATGTTGATACCCAAAAAAAAACAACAATCATTCCCTGAAAAACACTGATTACGAGATTAATTCCTTGACCTATACAACATACATCAAACACCAAAAACCTAGTCATAGTATTCATCTGAAAATACATTGGTCTGAACCCCATTGACTTCGGGCTGTGGCTCTGAAACGATCTCAAAAATGACATCATCAACCTCGTCATCTTCATCTTCTTTATTCCTTGTTTCTGCCATTTCCATAGCTCGCGTTTCATCCTGGTTCTTCATTGCATCTTCATACGACGTTTCATACCACACCATTCCTCTACCTATAATTCCTTTGTTGTGGAAGTCTCTTAATCTGTTTTGTTTAGTCTTTTCAGAACTTTTTGGCTCCCCCCAATAATCGTATCTATACAGAGGGTTTTCAGGGTCGTATTTGTCTTTTGCAACGCTGCTCGGGTCATGGTACCTTCCTGGCTCCTCTAATGGTAGACCAACCGCTCTACGGCTAAACCACATTTATAACACAACGTTAAATGAAAGAAATAGCATAGCATTGTACAATTAGGTAGATTTTTTTAAAGTAGAATTGTCTTAATAAGAAGATAAAAAAAAAAAAAAACATACCAGCTTATGTCTCGAAGTAAGGCCTCTCTTTCCTCAACCGAGCGTCGCCAATGAACAAAATCGTATTCGTCCATCTCATGATTACGCCTTAACTTGTCGATTTTGTAAGATGTTGCGCCTTTTTCCATTGCTTCAATTTTCAATTTATTATGATGCTGTGCAAACCCCAAATATACATACATGATGTTACATTCCATAGGAGGCAAACGGGAAATAAGCTGACATCAATCAAATTCAAAACAAACCTGGCGCTCTGAGTATGCAGCATCTAAGTCGAGATCTTTCACGCTCACGTTCTGATGAATACATACATATTAAAAGAAATGTCGCTTAATATAATATTAATAATGATGATTAAACAAGCACAAGCCAAGTGGTGAGTACTGACCACAATCCTTTTGGGTAGTAAAGTTCCGTTATAATAATCTTGACTGTATTCGACACTGTTTTCTTCATTGAATTCCACCTCATCGCTCAACTCCGACAATTTTTTACCCTCGTATTTTTCAGGATTCATCTCCATATCATCCATAATCAACTGTTCTGCAACATGTATTTGCCATAACTGCAAACCAAATTCATTATTATTCAAACATTTTATTATTATTAATCTATGCTATATGTCAACTGTCAACTGTAAACTGTCAAACAGGATATACATACCGTATTAACGTAAGGGTGATTACATATTAAAGGTTCCTCCTCCACCTTGATTCCCGGATCATCCTTAGAAATTGGTGGCCTTCTACAATCACGCTGTTAATAAGAGTATTGAAACCATCAGTAAATCCATGTATACATACATACATATATTAATATATATATATATATATATATATATATATATATATAAGAAACCATTAAACAAATAAAACTTACACGCAACTCATCCATACTAGTATCTTCCTCCCGATGGAAAATTGGTGGGTAGTCAAACCTTTTAAAACTGTAGGTAAAAAGTCAAAGATCAAACATTTTGCTATAGTTTTGAGCTGATTAACAATCTATCTATAAAAGATATAAAACTGGAAAACGTACATAAGGTGATCTATATTAGGATCAACAAAACGCATCTCGATTGGAAATCGGAAACGGTAAGGATCTCGTTTGGCCTGAAAAAAATAAAATAGACAGACATTTGACTTGTGCAACATAATACAAAAATACAACATTTTTAAAAGGAATAAGGAGCAGAATTATGCCTTTGAAGAGCCATAACTCACCAGAATTTCAACAATGACATGCATACCAACTTTTATATGATGTCGGATCCAATACCAATCATTACGTTTAATTGGGACCCACCTGAAATGACCATGGAGCTTTACTTAGAGTTAAGAATCTAAAAAGCTATATATATTGTATACAAGTGTTTCTTTTTTTTACTTAATGCAGAAATAACGACTTAATAGACAATGTCAGAGAAACGACTTAACGACTTAATACACATCATTTATCAAGACTTACCCATCATGAACACCTCCAATGTCAACGAAAGCTCCTTGATAAAGATGCAAAGTAGTCACTTTACCAACACAAATCTGCACAAGATATACATATATTATATGTATGTATGTATGTAAGTAGGTTTATAGCATGAATTGCTATTTGGATAATAAGATTTACAAGTTCATTTTGGTAATAAAATCAATGCAAGTGCATACTTATACATGGCTCAAGGGAATTACAGAGCAGTAAAACTTACTTGTCCGGGGTAGTAAAATGGTAGCTCGTACTGCAGAAGGGAAAGGTAAAATAAGTAAGAAAACATAAGATCATCATCGATTTTGGTTCACATTATTTCAAAACTTACCATTCCTTCTTTATAATCTTTCCCTCTTTTCCTTCTACCAGGAAAATAATCTTGATCATACTGTATCAAAAATTATGGATCTCATTAGTGTATAACATGAATAGCTTGGAATTATGGGGTGTTTTCAAAGTGAGCATTAATTACAAGTTGAGGAATCACGATAAGAACTGAGTGTTGGGATGAACCTTATATGATTCCTCCTCCAATCTATCTCTATTCGCATCCACCCATTCGTTATACTGCTTCAGAAACACCTTATATCTGTCCAAACACAAATCATCTGTATTGCTTTTTGCTTCATTCTGTACTTGCTCAAGATCAACTCTAGCTGAAAACTTATGAGCTTCCCTGATAAATTCCAGCTCTTTCTTATCCACTTCCCACCCCTTCGGCGGCCAATCTCGGGGTGGCACATGACGGACCACCAGCGGCCCTGCCCATGTCGTCTTCAAGGGCTCCGGAATGTCGCCCTTAAGCTCGAACTGCTTCGCGTAAAATTCGTCCTCTGTTAACCCTAATTCTTCCATTTTCTTCTTCCTGTAACTAGGTCTCAGCATTTTGAAGGCTTCAATCGAATCAGGATTTTCCAATGCTACTTCTTCTCCTTCGTTGAGTGATGTTCTGGCGAAATCTCCTTCTGGAGTGAGGATTTCCTCCCATGGAGCCCAACCTCCTTCGATCCAGTTGCGGCGACGGGCTTCATCTTCAGTTTCCACGTCTTTGGGACCGAATTTTTCGATGAAATCCTCATCAACCGGGAATTCGTCCGCTGAGAAACCTTTAACGGTGAATTTTCCAGTTGAGATGAAGTGAAGGGATGAGTTTAGATTACGAGATTTGAATAGCTTACTAGGATTTAGGATTTTCGGAGGAGGAAGAAAGGAGATGGGATGAGGGTTTAAGAGGGTTTGCATTCTCACTTGCTTGCTCAGAGTGGATAAAGTTGGTTTGAGTAGTTATGTAATTGTAGTGTATGAAACTATGCTGACCAAATTGTAAAGACAAAAGTAAACATAGGGACTTTAATAGGCCATCAATCTTTGTTTTTTAATTTCAAATGGACCACGAAACTATGGTGAATTGCAAACATAGGTTTCATTTACGATTTACAATTTGCATTTTTCAGATTTTCTAAATGATTAACTTTAAAGACCATCATATTTGATATTTTTGTCTGAAAATGGTTACCAGTTAAACAAATTAAAATAAAACGATAAGATCATTAAACAAATTTGAATAAATTCAAAAATACAAATGAAAAAAACCCATGAGACATGATATTTTTGTCAAAATCATTTCTTTTTTATACAATTTAGCTCCTTTTATGTTTATTATAAGAATAGTCTTGTTAAATGAATCTAATTGTAACATCTCAAGTTCAGGAATATAAGTTCGGGGTGCTATGCGTAAATAAAGGAGTAGACTCGACGAGTAGGTGTCTTAACTCGTCGAGTCGAAGCGGGTGTTGGGCACGTGTTAAGTGACCCGACTCGCCGAGTCGGCGGCTGGACTCGACGAGTCAGTGTTGGGAAGAGAAAACCCTAAATTTTAGGGTTTGCACCCTATTTAAAGGACCTTATGTCCTCACCTCAGCCTCTTTGTTACCCCTTGAGAGTCAGTAAACCCTAAAATCGTGTGTGAGCCATTGGTGAGAGTTTTTGAGCTTTGGAATGTGATTCTAGTGAAGGAAACTTGTAGATCAAGAGGCTAGCATCAAGGAATTCGTGTAGATCCAGAATCTACTTCAGTTTGGGCACATTTTGGAGGTAACAAGTTGTTGCCTTGAGCTCTTCCTTTCTAGATCTATTCATGGATGATGATTTGGGGCTATTTAGCATGTTTAGGATCCATTTCGGGTTTTGGGACTAGATCTGAGGTTGCAACTTCAGATCTAGACTTGTCTTGGTCTATGGAGGCATAAAGTATCAGCCCTTTAGCATGTATGTGAGCATTCCTGTCTTGAACCCTCTCTCTAGCTTGTATTGAGCAAATACCACCTTGCATGCACGTAAAGTTGGAAACTTTACGTGTAAAACTAGCCTTAGGAGTCCAGATCTATGAGTTGGAAGTAGTGGGATGGACTGAAATCGTCTGAATGAGGATGACTTAAGTGGATTCGGCGAGTCTGTTCTTGGACTCGACGAGTCGGGTCGCAAACCCTAACCCATCTGGTTATGATAAGGATCAGTGAGTTGAGTGGTGACTCAGTGAGTTGGACAGGCTAGGACTCGGGGATTGATGAACTCGACGAGTCATGGGGTGACTCGGCGAGTTGAGTCGTGATATGAGGATTTTCTTATTTTAGGAACTCGGCGAGTCAATGGGCTGACTCGGCGAGTAGGGTCAATCAGGAAGGCTGACTTGGACCAGGACTTTGACTTTGACCAAGAGTTGACCAGTTTGACTTCCAAGGGTATTCTGGTAATTTGGGCACTTACAGATATGGTTTCATCAAAGTGTTAGGTGGTGGAGTTCGTGGCTGTGATCGGGGATTTGATCTTACCTCTTCAGTTCGGCATTGCAAGGTGAGTTATCCTCACTGTACCCAAGGGTCTAAGGCACCAAGGTCGGCCCTTTGCTCTGTTATTTGGAATGGTCTCTGTTATGATATGTTAGTACGGTATCCTGGTAGATAGGATGATTATATGCTAGTATGATCTGTTAGATCGGTATCCGGGTAGATCGGATGTGGTTATACCTAGTGACCTGTAGTTGGTCTGACTGTCTGTATGCTGGTAGGAGATTACCTGTTATATGTGCACATGCTTGTTATGGTAGTTGAGGGTATTCCATCCCGAGGATGATAGGGCCCTAGTATGTTGTCTGGTAGACTGTTATATGATTATCTGATATAGGTGCACATGTTTGATTGGTTATGTGGGCAATCCAACCCGATGGTTGTGGGCCGAGAGTATTCCATCCCGAGGATGATTGGACTCATAATAGGTTGGCATTCCAACCCGATGGTTGAGGACCTGGGGTATCCCATCCCGATGGATGATTGGACCCATAGTAGTTGTTGTATGTATAGGAGTGTGGGCATTCCAACCCGATGGTTGTGGGCCGAGAGTATTCCATCCCGAGGATGATTGGACTCGTAGTATGTTGGCATTCCAACCCGATGGTTGTGGGCCGAGAGTATTCCATCCCGAGGATGATTGGACTCGTAGTATGTTGGCATTCCAACCCGATGGTTGAGGGCCTAGGGTATTCCAACCCGATGGTTGATTGGACCCATAGTATGTTGTTTGTTACTGTGTGTGTATGGTTATGTGTGTATGGGTATTTTGGGGGTAACTCACTAAGCATTCGAGCTTACATTTATCGATTATTGTTTCAGGTACATCAGGAGATCGTGGCAAGGCAAAGGCGTGATCGTACCGCTCCTCGTTTTTTATGATTCTGTTTCTGGGATACTCTGATAATAAACTATTTGGAAACCTTTTGTAATAACTAATGGAACTTGGGTTGTTTTTGAAAGTTTAAATTGGTTTGAAATTTTTGGGTGTTACAAGTTGGTACCTTCGACAGGGTTTAGGATTCGATCGTTTCTATGAGATGGTTGTCGGATGTGGAGGGATGTTTCTTCACGTGTTCGTGCCCTGCTGATCAGAGGGTGAGGTGTGCTCTGAACCTTTTGAGGCTCGGGGCGAAGGATTGGTGGAGGTTGACTACGGGATCATACTCTGACGCGCAGTGAGCTGCGGTGACTTGGGATCAGTTTCGGGATATGTTCAGTACTCGTTATGTTCCGCGGGTAGAGAGGGAGATATTGGCTCAGGATTTTTTGGAGCTGAGATAGGATTCAGAGTCGGTGACGGAGATCACCATGATGTTTACGGAGAGGGCGATGTTTTGCCCTGAGTTTGCTTCGGAGCAGGCTCAAATGACCCGGTATCTGAGCATGCTCAAGAGGGACATCATACAGTTTGTGTCCACACAGAGATGTGATACTTTGTTGGAGTTGCAGGAGGCCGCCAGGCGGCGCGAGTTAGAGATTGAGCTCCAGCTGAGGGAGCAGAGACAGGCCCCGGTGCAGTCACAGCCTGCGCCGAAACGGTTGAGGGTCACGGATTATCGACAGGGAAGTCAGAGGAGTCGCACTTGTGGGAAGTGCGGCAAGGTGCATGATGGAGGTTGTCGGTCTTCTTCTGGGTGCCACAAGTGTGGCAAGGAGGGTCACATAGGCAGGGACTGTAGACAGCAGACTCCAGCTGCCGGAGTCCGACTTTGTTATCATTGCGAGTAGGTGGGCCATATGAAGGCCCAGTGTCCTCTTTTGGCTGCCAGGCCGGTGCAGTCCCCAGCACCAGCCACTTTGAGGCTTATAAATGGGGGTCAGGGTAGAGCAGAGCCTCCGAAGGCTCAAGGGCGTGCCTATCAGCTTATGGCCGAGGAGACCGGGACAGCGCCATAGGTGACGGCCGATATGTATTTTCTCCTATCTTTTGTTCATATTTGTATTATGAGTTTCCGTTTCTTTCTGCGTGAGTTATTAGGGCATAGGAGATGCTAGGGGGAATGTATTGTTAAGGGATCTTAGATGGGTAGGATCTGGTGGTTCATTCAAGAGAAAGAGATAGGATAGGAAAAATCGCCAGACCAGAACGAGCAGTCGTGATTCAGGGATTCAGAAATCATCAGCAGGAACTCGGATACTTTGAAGTTCGTTGCCTTGGATAGGGACAATTGAGTCGTGTACCATCTTCGCCGCCGGTAGACAGTAGTTAGTGTTCTAAGTGGGGGAGAATTGGAAATTCTCGGATGGGACGTTCGCTTTGGAAGATGCTGCCTGATGCATTTTGGATGACAGTTACTAGAATGGTGCAATGAGGCGGTCAAGTTATGCGGAAGACTCTGTATGTACTGTAGATCTATGTGTGGGTATGAAGTATACTGCTATGCTAATAGCAATCAGTGGATCTTTCTTCGAGTGATGAACATAATGAGGAAGTGTGATGAAGACTTTGTATGGGTTTATCAGTTGTGTGTTCAGGTTCTGAGTATATGTTTTATGGATTGGCAACGTAATCCACCAGTGGATAGTGTAAGGTGGGGTTTCAACACTGCGACGCTGACTGATGTTGCGAGGTCATGGTTTAGGCCTCCTTGGAAGTGGAGGAGGTGAGTATCTCCAGGATGGAGCTTTGGACAGCAGAAGTGGAAGTAGTGGGGTTGAGAGACTCGGAAGCAATCCAGACCTATGCTGAGGACCATGTGAGGGTATTCCAGTCATAGGTCGTGGGCGTAGAGATCGTGATAGTTATATTCCCTGCTGTAGCGGGTTTGAGGTAGAAGTATTGTTGAGATTTGGGTAAGTTGTACTCGGTTGTGTCGAATCAGAGGAGTTTGAAGGAGATGCAAGGATAGATCCTTGGATTCCAAGTATGGTTGTAGACATGGGATATGTATGTAGTGGTATTCCAATCTAGGGTATTCCATCATGAGGATAACCGGACCCTATGATTGATTGGACCTGGTGTGTTTGGTATTCCAACCCGAGGGTTGATTGGGCCAAACATGCATGAGGATACGAGGGTATACCATCCTAGGGATGACTGGACCCGTCATAGGCATACCTGGTATTCCAGCCCGAGGCTGATTGGGCCAGGTATGAGTGTTTATGCGATATAGCTGGTTGTTCATGAGAGTTGCTCGGAAGCTGAAGGATGCGTCATCCTGTCAGCGCGGAAAGGGACTAGATTCAGGAAGGGAACTGGATGAGTTTCCAATATTGCAAGTTACCCGGGTTATCGCCAGTTTTGGAAAGGGGAGGATAGATTAATACTGTGAGAGAGAGCCCCGTGAATTATAGTGGTAACCAACTTTCGCCAGTCCACGTCTCTACTCGTCGAGTTTAGAAATGACTCGACGAGTTCTCCTTCTATACGAGCATCGAATGAACCTTCATCCGACTCGTCGAGTTGTATGAACAACTCGTCGAGTTCATCCTCATCCTAAAAACCAGTCCTGTCCTCGACTCGCCG